GTATGCCAGCAAGAAGCCAGTAATCATGACGTGAATGCCATATTCTCTGGGTTTTAATTATTAACTCTGAATTTTTCGCTATTTCTGAATGAGATTGAATTGTTTGACAAATATTACTGATCTTTGCACATTCTTCATTCCACACAGAACGTAATAACGTTAAACCACCTTCGTTTATAGCAAATTTGAAAGTGGGACTTTGAATCTTTAAAAGAAATTGAAGGGAGCATACAAATCATTGCGGAATGTAATTATTTCTTACATAGGTGTCATTACCAAGATTTGATTTGATAATTTCGAATAAATGGAGCATTGGGTTCATTGTTATAAATAAAAATATATTTGTAATATCCCAATGAGTGTAAGTCACTTCTTCAGAGAATAAATAACCAAGAAGTGACTTACACTAAGTCACGAAACGTCAGAAAATCTAATTTTCTACTCATTGGGATATTACAAATATATTATTTTTATTTATTTCTTACATGTTTGCTTATGACTAATTTGCAAGAAACTGATTGGCAGAAAGTGAATTACGAAGAACTGACATCAACTGTAGTACTACTTATTTCTAAATGTTCTGATTTCTCAATACTCTCCAGTGCAGATGACTGAGTTTTACAAGTTTGAGCTAACAACTGACATTCCCTTTTAGTAGTCAGTATGGATTAATTTATGATGTAATGGACTTACCATTTCTAACGATCATCATCGATTATTTATTCTCAATTTCAACGAAATCATCAGTTAAAGACACAGCTTCTCTTTAAAACATTGGATTATTATTAGTTTCTATAGAAATCAATCAAATTAAATACTACGTTGAACTACTGAACACGAAGTTATTTTATTTGGTAGCTTGCACATAGCGCCGAGTTTTGAACCGAAATGTCGCTAAATATGATACCCAGTTACCATGGCGAAAAAGACTCTTTCTCCTTAGACGTACAGTCAGCTGTTCGATTTCGCCTGCAGATTTGATTATTAAACTTGTATAATAATTAAGAATAAATACTTGCATCCAGATAATAGAACAATAAGACTAACATCAGTAGAAATACTTGTCGGTCCATTTACATCTTCATATTGTAATACTTTATTTCTAATCAAGGCCATCACTGCAATACGTGAAAGCACCGCAGGAACACATAAATGTTCTTTAGGTAAACCATCGGACCAACTAAATACGAAATAAAAAAACACACAGAAAATGAATTAGAAAGAAAATCAAAAACGATGCGTCAATTCTGAACTACGGATGTGTGACATTAGAAAGTTGGGAAGGGAAGACCAGAAAAATCGCACGCTGATTGAGTTATAAGATCTTTAGTGTTTCAGAATTCTGAATCAAAATTTATGCAACTAATTAGTGTTGTATTCATAAATAAACACTTGTTTTTAGAGAATTCACTTATTTTGTCTTTGATGGAAAAGCCCAACGGAGAAAGTGAAGCTTCATTTTGCATGAAGTTTAATAGAATGTTCTTAATACAGTTAAATGGAACGAGCAAATATCAAGCCTCAATCAGCCTTTAATTAATGGTCGGTAATAAAACGATTGTCGAGAATATTTTAGGCCTTTTTTCTAAAGTATTTACTAATTTTTCTAGCTGTACGAAATGATTTATCCATGACGAATATCGCTGATGAGTTTAAATATTAGCTTGCTTAAGTTACTGGCTGATAAATTCAGCAGAGATTGACTGCGAGTTTTACAAGATGACACGTAATTACTTATATCCTTTTTGATCATTAGAAAAAGAAATGAAGAATAGAGATTTATGCATACACAATAAACAACTATCCGAATAATTTACAAGATAAACAAACACCAGAATGCCTACCTTTCTTCAGATTCATCTAATCCATTCGGGTCATCGTATAAATGTTTCATGTACAGACATACGTAACCAAACAATTGAAATTGAGATTTATAATATAAGGCTGGCGGAAGCCAGTCTTGAGGTGGGACAATACCAGGTGGTGGAAGACCGAACCTAAAAATTGTAAAGAAAATGTAGATAAAGTAGGAATCTTAGTGAGTCCAATTTTTTCGTTAAAACATGAAGTCGAAATATCACTTCGTCTGACGTCTATTTGGCTTCTTGACAACGATCATAGATTAGCGTTTCTCTCAGTAATTCAATGTATCATAAATAGCTTATAATGTTTCCCATATCGAAATTACTAATGATGCAATTAATGGATAGCATTCTCTTTTGATGTATGGACCATGATATAGCAATTTAGATTATTAGTTCACCACTATAATTAGGCTCTACTAAATCTCACAGATTGAAATCTACTAAATCACCGATGAACAAGAAGTATAATGTCGTATCGATATATACGATATCCTAGCAGAGTCCATTCATTATTCGCTGAAAAGTCATCAGTAAAAACTAGGCCTTTCTTATAGGAATACATGTATTGAACTAGATTAATAATTCCCTTGAAATTCTCCACATGGTTCATTTACGTATGCGAATGAATGGTTTAGATCATATTACATTGTTTCAGATACACAATAATTAAAATTTTCAAAAAACAAATACAGAATCAGTAGTTTTCGTTGTCAAATAGAGTTACTGATAGCTATGTTCATTGTTTTTTAATCAATAGTTTAGGACCCAATTTTACCATCGTATAGCACGAAAATGATTCAGCATAAAAATACACTTTGCAGCGTATACATATTGCTTTTAATAAATGAAGCACATTTCAGAGATTCATTTAATTATCAGTAAACATATAAAGTTAAAAAGTATTGCTAATCACTACAGAATAATTAATAAATTCCTGTATACAAAAATGAAATAAACTATGGTTTAGATGTTCTACCTTTATACAGAAGTAACAATAATAATTTAAGTGAGTTTTTTAAGTTAGCTATTCATGAAAACTGCCAACATAACGCTAGAGACTTTTAGATCATTCACGGATATTTCTTCTAACTCCATAATCAGCTGATACGCTCAATTGAATCTTAACCAAACAGCTTTCTGTTGGTCACTCTAATCTTTATGATACAAGTGATTTCTTAATGGGAATGATATCCAGGAATTCACGTGATACTATATTAAACTTCAAAACATGTCACTAAAAATGTTGTCTGTAGACAACAATAGTGGGAAAACTAGGTGACGCGAAAATCATAACCACTAAATGGATTAGCTGGGGCTTATTGTAATTTATTAACAATAATAAAAAGGTTGTTGTTCTGGTCATCAAGTTCAAATATTCCGTTACAAGTAATAAAGAAATTACTGGTAGATAATAGAGAAATATCCTAATGCGATGGTGAATCTAACGAATGAATATTATAAAAATGAAGAATAAACGCCAAATGATTCACTAGATATGATATATTGCAGCACAATACAATGAATAGAAAAATGACAAAAACAAAACAAGGGATTATGTTCATTAAAAAAATCCCATCTTTATAGTTGCAGGAAGCGTAATTCTATAGAACAATATCTGAGAAATTACCTCATAACTGCATTGTTGAATAATTGACGATCATTAGGGCCAAAGTTATATATAAATAACTCATCCCGATGCCATGTGATATGCTGACCAAGATCGGAAACTCGTGCTCTCCATTTAGCATAAGTATCAGCTGTGGGATACCAACAAACTGGATTGACTGCATTAGCAGATGATTCCCAGAGAAGAAACTCTTCACTGTCACTGCTGTCAACAATAGCTTCTGAAGTTGGTAAAGACGTATGAGTGCTAGACCTTCGAGTACGCTGTATGAGGTTAATAAATCCAGTTAAACTATACATTATTCAATTTATACAGTAATTAATAAATTTTTGCTTTGATAATTCAAAAACATTATCAATGTCAATCGCTAATCATTAAAATATAGCTTCATGGAACAAATACGTAGATGATTTATG